GAGTTATGAGTTTCAAGGCAAGAAATGTCCTTTGTTTTGGGTGGCATGAAGAGGAATATCTAACAAAGCTGGGATGAAGATGAGCAAGGCAGAAATTGGGTTAAAGAGAAATCACTGSCTAAGATGGAGTGCAGTTCAGTTCTGAAGTGACATCTTGGGTGCAGTCACGTTAATTTAACTGTTATAACCTAGATAAGAAAGTCTTCTGGACCTGATAAGAAATTGGGCAAAAGCATCTCTGTATACTACAAATTCACTTTCTTTACTCAGATCCTCAATTCTAAAATTTTAATCCTTTAGGATTTTGTGAAAAAAGCAGATTTCTCTTTACATATATTTCCAGCTCTTTGATCTGGGAAATAGGGTCAGCTATTATACACTGATTATGTGTAGTATAAATACTTTGATTAGAAAATTTCTTAATTTTTTCCACAAGTTCTGTTCAAAAATATAATTTTAGGCAAGGTGGACCTCTGACATTAATGCATTTCATTATTTTGTTAGAAGCAAAATCTCTTTAGGAGATTTTATCTCTAAGGTCTTGCAGAGATTGAGGCAATTGACATTTAGTTTTGAGCTTTCAAATCATGTTCATTCAGAAAATTCTTGTGAACCATAAGTGAATATGTTCTTAATGTASTGGTTAAATGTATTTACTATAAGTYGTACAGGTTAATATTATTGTACATATCCTGTAATTACAACAGGCCTTCTTAGCAACTTTACTGTTTGAGAGGGGCCATTTTTCTGTTAGAAACATTTATAATTGCTTTCCTGTAATTGTCCGAGCTAAGTTACAATTGTGTCATATAATGACCTTTAAAAAYGTGCCTAGAAAAGCCTGCAGCTGTTCCCTCCTTGGGTTCTTTCTACTGAGTTATATTTAAGCCAGTGTCTCTGAAACCAGGCAGTAATAAAAGGGATATTATCCTTAGCAAATATCTTAATCATGGTAAATCTCTGTTGCCCTACAAATGACTGCATGGGGGATTAGAGTGGAGTAAGCCATTTGCTGAATATCACTGCCACCTTTCCGAGGCCATTTAGGCGTGTTTAATTTTTCAGGGTGAAACATGAAACCCACTAATACAAATGTTTGCATTTGGCCTGAATTATATCCAGCCTGTAACAGTTTGARCAGACTTAGGACCAGATTGTGAATGATCTGTAGGAGGCCAGCTCTGCTTGGGAGAGTGAGAGAGAAAAATGCATGTTTGTTCCCAGTCCCAGCTCTCTTATGTCACTTACGCTGCCTGGTTTCTTTTCAATATTTATGTAAGGCTATTATGGGGTGAATTACCAGTAAATATAGGGATGGTGTTTAGCTCTGTATTTTTTTAATATCAATCACAGTCCTTACTGTCATCCAGTGCCTGGGAGCCATCAGTGTCCGGCTTGKGTTCATCCTGGCTAAAAGGGAGGTGACAATGTTGTGAAGGACAAAATACTTTCCAGGACTTGTGTCCTCCATAGCATCACTTTCTATCTATTTATTGATGCACATTTCTAGCTGGTTGCCCAGAAACATTGAAACTATCTGTTTTCCAGTGACCAAGCTTAAGGAAACCTTTTGGGAGTTGGAAGTACTACTGTACATTTCATACTTTCTTTTTTCCTTCCTTTTTTTCCTTTATTTTAAGAAAGCAGTGCCTTCTCTCTGTACCAGTCTGTGTGACTACACCCCTAACCAGTGTGGACTCAGCCAGAGCCTTGGGAACTGGCAGCTCCAGGAGGTGTTTCCTGGGGCAAACTTCAGTGACTGTGAGGTGACACCTGGCCCGGGTGAAACAACACTTTTATTGCCACACTGCCGTGTGCCAGGAACACACCACCCACAAACTCCCCTTGCTTCCAAGGAATGTGCACTGGGGTTCACCTCCCCAGCCTGATTTCTTGATCTTTCCATCAGGCAGCTTTTTCCATGAGCCCTGAGCACAATTTCCCAGAGTGCCTACAGGGGTAAGAGCAGTGAATGTGAGAGGCAGTGTTTTGTTGTTCATAGGATCATGGAATCATAGAACAGTTTGGTTTGGAAAGGACTTTAAAGATYATCTCATTCCAACCCCTGCCATGGCCAGAGACACCTTCGACTATCCCAGGTTGATCAGAGCCACATCCAACCTGGCCTTGAACACTTCCAGGGATGGGGCAGCCACAGCTTCTCTGTTTCAGTGCCTCACTACCCTCACAGTAAATAATTTCTTCCTGATATCCAGTGTAAACCTGACCCTCCTCCAGCTTAAGGCCATTCCCTCTTGTCCTACCACTACATGTCCTYGTGAAAAGTCCCTCTCCAGCTCTCTTGTAGCCCCTTTAGGAACTGGAACAAACTGTTGTTTTTTGTCTTATGACTGTTGGACTGATCATCAGCAGAGGTGCTGATGTTTGTCCATCCCAGTGTTTACTGTGCTCARTGWAATAYTCTCAGTGTTTAATTCCCAGGAAARTTTCCAAATGACAAGCCTCACTTTGAATGGTCAGCAGAATTTAATAAATATTCTAAGGACCTTAAATGAGACCATAAAATGTGTGGTTAAGCAATCAGTTATACTTGWTAATGGTGAGATACAGCTAATAATAACCAAATTGAAAGAGGAAATTGAGTTAGTGCCTTGTAAGAAATAAGACCTTCACAGAGGACCCTCTCATTAGAGACTTCAAGATTTTTGTTTTTTTAAAGTTAATCAACTATTTCATATTTCAACCACTTCAGCCAGTCACAAGTATTCTTTTTTTTTGTGACAGTTGTTTAACATGAACTATATATACCTTGTCCTATTGGAGAGCTTSTCCCTTAGTGCTTTTAGCTTGAATCTGAGTGGTTTCTTTCCTAAGGAAAAAATAAATTCTGTTAAGTCAATGAAGTTTTATTATACTCTGTTAAGTTTTCTATGGTATAGGCAGGTTAAAGCTTTGATTTGATTTCCCTCACAGAAGAAACGAAATTCCTATGGGAGACAATTATAGGTGAAGATGAAACCCCTTAGTGTGTTCAGTGTATCTTTCAGATGCTGTCATGGCGATTATGAATGAAATACCTACATAGATAAAATGATCATAGAATAATAGAAGTGTTTATTTTAGAAATGCCCTCTAAAATCATCAAGTCCAATCATTAATCTGACACTATCAAGTCCACCACTGAGCCTGCACAGGTATATGAGGTTTTTCTCTTTAGTTACTCTGAAGTTGCAAAGAGCTTCTATTTCTGATTCCTGCCACTGTTTTATACACTCAGCTGGTTGTGGGTTTATCCCTSTAGGTATTGCTGAGGGATGTCTGCTCTTTGCACAGACCATCCCACAAATGAGTGAGGTCCTAATTCTGTCTTCATCTACACAGATGGAGCAGAAAGTGTTTTCACATTCACTAAATATTTTAGAGGTTTGAAAGTTTCTCTGCAGTGGGATAAAAACTAGAAACATTCAGAGATTTTTGTAAAAAGGTGCAGAGCATGAAGGAAAATTRTGTACTGGAATAGGGTCCAGGGTTGATCTTCTCAGCTGGACTGTGAAGATTTGGACCAGGATTTTCACATTCCAGTTGAGGGTCCCATCACCAGGCAATAGGCTATTTAGAGGGGGCTATTTTTTACCTTCAAGTAGGAATTTCCAAGTTGCGCATAAGAAGTAATTTTTTTTCTCAGATGTTTCTTTTAAATCATCATCTTTTGGTATAATACACATTTTCTCCATGCAGTTTCTTCTGAAAARGTCTAACCTGAGGTAGAAATTAGCCCTTCTTTGAGCATGGATTAAACCAGCTGACCTCCTGAGAAGTCTTCCAACTTAAATTGTTCTGTGATTCAATTTGGAAAAAATACCCTCCATCTCCAATAAGAAAAAATGATGCTTGAACCTAGAGTTACAATGCCGTAAAAAATGTCACATTAAGTGCTAAATGCCATGTCTAAAGACTTATAAACTAACTAGCCAGTGTCCTCAGTTGCTGAGTAACTTTTTTTATGCATATGGATTTTGCATAAGCAATCTGGATGCTGTTGTGGATACATTTCAAATGGTAAATACCATAAGGAAATGGGAGGTTACTCTGGAGAGGCTGGGCAGGTGGAAGTTATATTCCTGGCTGTGCCCTGACTTGGCTGGGGTGTCCACAGACACACCATTTCAGTTTCTTTAGTCTCTTTAGGCCATTTTCATTTTCACAGTATCTTTCTTTCATATGTGTAAATGACTTGCTGTAAARACTCAGCTCTTCAAAATAGTGTTTGTTTTCTGTGGTGTATTGGCAGGAATACATGGGGAGGGCCTATTCTAGAATGGGACCTCTAGAGGTTCCCAAAATCCACATAATAATAGTAAAGAGAGGGGAATGAGATGTGATTTCTTCTGAAATGACTGTCCAGTCTCCTTGAGAGATGTAAACGGAATGTTCTTTGTGGTTCAGCTTTACAAGAGCAAGAGTGCCCATTTCAAGAAGGATTTGAGGACAGGCTTTTGCATGTCTGTGTTTGCAACAGGCAGGACCAGCTTCCATAATTAACAAAATYAGTTTAGCTTTTATTGGATCTGCCATGGAAGAACTGCTGTGAAAAAAAGCCACGGAGCAGGATAATGTTTGCATTTGAACTACTGTTATATAGAAGAAATGCTTGGCACATGAAGGGCTGCTCCATGGATGAGATACATTCTTAAAGATGGGATTTTACCTTCCTTTGCCATATTATTACATAGAAAACACTCAAATGCCATGCCTCCTCACTTATTTGTCTGAAAAATGAAATYATTGTCGATTTAACAGATACAACACGTGCTGGGTTAAAAAATKTTCATTAAATGTGCTGATAATGCCAGAGAGGGAATGTGTGATGGGAGAGATGAGTGCTCCAGAAGCAAATGCAGTGCTAAGGCTGGTTTTGTGCTTGGAGCTGATCTGATGTGCACCYCTGGGCGTGGGCCCAGGATCGCTGCTGCCTCCACTGGAGGTGAGAGGGTCCCTCCCTGCTTCAATCAGCTGAGTAACTGTTTGTTTCTTTCCAGATGAATATAAGAGTAAAGTAGCCTGTGAAGATGACAAGCTGAGGCTGAGCTGTAAGAAGAGCATGGTGATAGCCATCTACTCTGCTATCTTCGGGAGGACACAAGGAGGCAGCCTGGAGTGCCCATACCAAAACCTAGGGATGCCCACGATTGGTAAGCAGGGGAATGGCTGGATAGCAGGCTGCTGTGGGCAGAGTGATTTATTTTACTGTCATCACAGCAGAGTTGGCACAGATCCTGATTAGAAAAGCAGGACTCGGAAATGCAGCCTGCCGTGGTGATGCTCCTGATGTGCRGTGCCTTGTCAACCAGCAGTGAGCTTCAGCATCAGCACCAAACTGAGGTGCATGTCCTAGCCGAGTTACCAACCCACAGGCTTTTCACAGATTCATCAGATTACATGCTTAAAAGTGCTGGAATTTCTTGTTCAATTTTCTGTTCTCCTGGTGGTTGATACATTGAACCTCTGCCTGTAATACAGARCAGCATCTTATCAGTGGATGTCATGTACCATCTGCAGGCACTGGAGCCTTGACACTGCATTTAAACTTTTACTGAAGTTAAAGCAAGGGAGCAAATTCAAAAAGCAAGTTGTTAAGTTTCATCATGTTACGGTTGGCTTACAGTATCTGCAAGTAGGTTCTTCACTCTCATACTATCAGAGTCTCTTACAGTCAGGAGTTAAAGATAAATAATTGAATAACGTTCACTGGAACTGTCTGTTCTTGAGCCAATGTGAAATGRCTTTGAATATTTTAGGCTGTGGCAGAAAAAGCAACAGTTACAGCACAAAATCCTGCKCTCAGCATTGCTCATAATTCTTCTCTGCAGAGTTGAGAGGGAATTWACTAATTTCCCAAAGGAATTGCCTCTAGAGAGGGAAAGGCTTGAGAGAAGACTGCAGGGGGAAGCTTGATCTGCTGCTATTGCCTGTGCTGGAATCTGTTCAGCTGCATCTGGGGTTATTTGCCTTCACAGCTGATCCAATGCCCCTAAGGAGTTAAATGCTATTCAGAGGGAAGCATGTCAACTGAGTGCTTGGAAATATGATACACAGGTGATGGTGTCAGTAGAAACCCACAGGTGGAATGAGGCCAGTCAGGTTATTTGTGCAGCATGGCAAGTGCCTCACTTCTGCAGCTGTGAAAATCTGAGCACTTGCAGCACARCTGAGTAGTGCAGGGTCTCCTACCCAGGCCCATGGGTGAGGTGCATGGCAGCAGAGTYAACATCCTGCACAAGGTTATCTCCTGTATCCTGAGGTGACCAGTGTTCCTGGGTGTGCTCCTGTAGTSCTCCAGGTAGCAGAAACCAAAAGAGATGTGTAGGGCAGGCCAGCCTAGACCTTGCTGCTGTGGTGTTTGGGATGGGCTGGGTGTGTGCACTGGGTGCTGTGGTGGTTGGGCTGCTGGGTTAGAACTCATCAAATCAGTGAAACAGGATGGGTTTCTGGATCTGAACACCCCACTCCTCTGTCCTTGCTGAGAGAACAGGAACAGGCACCTACCAGGGACAAGGTACCAGCACAGSAACACCCTCCTCAGTGACAGCATGAAGCAAAACTAYACATGAARCCACAAAGYRTAAAGTTTTACTCTTCTTTGCCCARATGCAAWGTCACAAAACTCGTACTGGCTGAGAGTAGGGTATGTGGCACTGGAAAACAGGACGGGAAGCATGAGCAGGGAGAGCAAACAGTGGGACCTGACAGCTGAGCTGCGCATGCCATATGATCTCTAGTGCCTGTGTGCCCTGCTATTCTCAAACTGGCCTTGTGAGCTCTACAAATTGGCCAGTTTTCTTCAGCTACAGCTCACTGATCCCCTTGGCATGAGGCAGTCTCTGCTTATCATGACCTTTCCTTCATCTGTGATGTGTGAGCTGATCCAACAGGGCAGAGCTTCAGGGCTGCAGGAATGGAAGGGTGAGTTGTGGCTGTAATTGGCACTTCTCATGGCCCCACAGATCCTACAGAAACTGCTGTAGGAGCCTTCTCCAGCCCGAATCAGCAAAAAGCATATTCACACTGTGCTTCCCATGGCACCCTGCAGAAATCCCAGTCGTGTCTCTGGTTACAGGAGTGACGGGAGCGGGTTGTGCTCCCAGCTGCCATGAGCGATTGTGGGAGCAGCACTCAGGGTGCCCCAGCCTGCTCCAGAAACTGCTCCTCTCACAGGCCTGCCTAGCCCAGCAGGCAACTCTGTTCCTTCAGGAGCAGGTGGAAACATCACAATTTATAAATCAAAGCTTTSCTAGCTGGAGAACATTTCCCTGCACGTTTGCACAGCCCTGCGATGTGGGGAGGGCTGCACCGTGGTAGCCTTTGATCCCAGACATGCACAATGAACTGATCTTACAAACATGACCGTATGAGTCAGGCATCCAGTTCCTGTAAGGCAGAACCCAGCTATGTTCTGTGCATGGAAGATTTATTCTATTTGAATTTCGTGGGAGTGATGATTTGTATCAAGTCTGAGCCTTGGCAAAGGACCTTTTGCTGGGAAGAAGGCCCTGCACAAGTTTGCAGTGATTATTTATCAGCCTGAGCTACTTGATGAGTGAAGATGTCATGCTTGCCCCAAAAGTGGTGACGATTATCTTTTCTTCCTAATGAAAAACAATTCAGAAAATTTGATTCAATTTTTTTTTCCTGTGGACAAAATGCACATTTGGATTGAATTTAGAAATCTACGGCTTCTACAGGTGAGGCTTTTAAAGAGTTGAGGYCTAAGATGGAGAGGAGAGGTGGCCTAATAGAGCATTGCATATTAAGGTAAACCAATTCAATTTGTGTTGTTTCTGYCTTGAAAAACAAGACCCTATACTCCTGTAGAAGTGTTGAGGAGATGAAGTCCAGTAGTGGTGAATTCCCTGGGTTCTCCGTTAGGCACTCAGGTGAGTTCTGAGGTATCCTGGTGTTTCAGTCCTTTTAACCCAGGTATTGCTGTGCTGCTTTTGGGTGGTGAAAGATCCCCAGGTCATACTTCGCCATGCCATGCCATGCCATGCCATGCCATGCCATGCCATGCCAGACACATGCTTTCTCTTTATCTAATGTCTATACGAATGTGATTAAACATCTGTGAAGAGAAAATTATTGTGAAGAACTCCATCCTGTCCCTGTCATGTTAAAGTGGAAATCTGCCAGGATCCTCTTTTAACTGGAAACACGCTGAAACTTGTGTCTCTGACCGTAATGGGAAACCCCTGCAAACAGCTGGACCCCTCCYTGAATGCCTTGGGAACTCTGAAAAGCTCCTAAAAGAATTTGACCTTATTTGTAGCTCTCCTAATAAAGGCTCCACTTTGCTGCCAGCGTGTGCAGAGAGCATGGGGAGGTTTCTGGGGAAAGGGCTATTTACAAGCAATGAACCATTAATATCCCTCAGCCAAGTGAGCCCTTTGCCCCTTTTTCCTGCTGTTTACAGCTGCCTCTGCYTGCATCTCCAAGTGGCTTGTTTGTTCCAAGAGAAGCAATTTAAAAAATGGCCTTTTCCTACATTTATCTGAGTGCAAGGTAGTGATCTAATTAGGAGACTGAGGAGGAAGAACTGGGATGTAAAATGATTACCCTTTTTATTGCTTAGTGGAGCAATATTTTGGTCATATTCAGGACACCTGGCTTGCTCACATTATTCGTTTTTACAGTAGCTCCCCCCTGATCCATAGACTGTGAGATGGACGTGCTCAGCTGACCTCTGACACAGGATCCAAGACTCCTTCTCAAGGACCCTGTCTCTCTCCATCATGTATACAAAAAGCCCAAAGCAATTTAATTGCTCATYCTGGGTAGGAGGAATCTGGGCTTGGTTTTGGAGTCGGGGCAAGATCGTGGGAACCCTGGGTCCCCTGCCCTGCTCTGGGTCCTGCGGTGTGGGTTAAGCTGAATGCTCTGCTGAGATCAAAATGTCCTTGTCACTTAAAATACAAATTCTATCTTTTGCCACTGTAAAGGGGGAAARTGAATGTGTTTACAAAGCCCTGAGGAAACTCAGATGGTCATGGCACTCTCTGACTCCTAAGATCTGATAATGGAAGAGCAGAGGAAGGAGTTCAGTAAATGAGCAAATGCTTTAGGTGCTCATTCCCTGGYATTTTTCATTCTAATGCAGTGACAGAAGGTGATCCAACCCAGTTTGTTTTGATTTCCCCCTCTTAATGCAGATGCATGTATGACTTGAAGCAGAGTCCTCATATAAATATTTATTACACCATATAAATAATGGACCCTTCTAGTTTGTTTGTCTGTGATCAGATCYAGCATGAGAATGAATATGAAATACATGCAGTAAAAAATCCATTTTATTGTAGGGTAYATGTTCCTGCCAGCTCAAGAGCTGGCTTTAAGAAACTGCTGCCCCTCCAGCTGTGCATTTCTGGCTCTTTTCTGCCTCACCATTCATGGCCATTTTCCATCCTGTTTCTGTCAGTACAAGGTTGAGCCTGTGCTCTAGTCTTAAGTAAAATGCTTAGAAATAAAAAGCCTCTAAAGTGTGGATCTGGACCAATGAGGAGTATCATTCCCCCTGGCATTGATGAGGGAAGCAGAGGGTGACTGGGACAGGGGGAAAGGATGGGATATCCATGGAAATCTGTGCTGGTCAGACTATGCCATGGAGCACAGCCAAACTTTAGTGGATCCAAGTGGCTGAAACACTCTCATGCTTCATCCTGGTTTCCCTGTCTGGCTTTTAAAGCATCTGCAGTGCTGGGTCTGGGGGATGAGCAGCAGTTGGGGGGTCAGACCCTGTCATTACTCTCTGCAGAGCACACCAGGCTTCCAAAGCACCCCTCCCCTAGGTGTGACTCTGTGTATGCTTCATTTACATTCAGGGCAGAAACTACTTTATTATGTGTACAGCTCATGATTAAGAACATGTTTTTAGAGGCCAATATGTTTGTAGGCAATAAAACCCACAAGTATCCAAATCTGAAGGCTACATAAATATCAGTTGCTGTTTAATTCACATATCATACCTTATTAAATTTAAATTGAAATGCAGTTCCCATTTAGAATGCTGAGTTAAAGTGGGACAAGGCCTGCTTTCAGAAAGTTGATTTTCAATTTTAGATACTTTATGTGTTTCACTTTTTGTCTCAAAACGCCAGGAGGTAATTAAAATCACTTTACAGCTGTTTCTAGAAAACTCCAA